TGAAATCGGCAATGACTTAGTTGCCAACCTAATAGTTTGTTCACTTATGTCCCTTTAATCACTAATTGAAGGGGTTTTTTTGGCAGAATGTCTAAACAGCAAACAAAAGCTAACCACAGATTTCCATAAAAATGTTAAATCTATTAGGATTCCCTAGCTAAATTTCAGAACTCACATGGATCGGGTTTTTTAATTTAAATTTCGCTCAAATTATTTCTCGTTTATTTCACACATAATAAAAAAAGGAATAAAAATCATTTGCTGCCTTAGATTTCAGTAAATTTTAAAAAAATGCTTTTTTTGTTCATTAGTGTGCACAATAAATAGATGGGAAGAAGGAATTTTAAATAAAGGAAAATTTTCGTCTAAAATTTTAATTTCAAGAACCAAATTCTAAGGCATGAAGAGTTAAAAAATTTGTTTCCATTACCTCTCCTATCGAAACTAAATGAAGCAATTTGATGAGTGGGCTGAATTTTCGGTTGAAGGAACTTCTCTTTGAAGTGATCAATCAGCGGTGAGGAGGATGATGATGAGGAAGTTGATGTGGAGCCTCCATTCAGGAAATCAGGTGGGTCGTCAGCGACAAATATTCGACCATGTGAAGTTGGCAGGGTCTTGGAGGCTGCTAGTTGGTTGGAGGTATTTGTGGATTGAGAGACACCGGAGGTTTGAGTTATTTGTGAGACTGGATAGCCAACTGCCTTTTCATCAGGATAAACAGCGCCGGAATTCTTTGAGTTATAAGATACTTGATCTGGAGAAGTGGCGTGCTTTGAGATGACAAAGTGTGAATCAGCTGAAGGAAAAGAATTACAAAAATCACTTTAGATTTTGAAAAAAACACAAATAACAATTGAAGTGTTCAATAAGTATTCACAAAGGACTATTTATTGTCCAAGCTCATTAAAGATCATATTATTTAAAATTGGGGTGTGCGATAGACCCACCTCCACGTGGTGCATCATGGGCAACGTATACTCATACGGCAAAAAAGTCTATTAACTACAATCACCCCACTGCATGTCATATTCGACTACTTCCGCAGTACTTACCTCACCTTTTTTCTACCTTTGTGTCTGTCTCTTTTACATCTTTGAAACACTCTTCTGTTCCCCCCCCCCCTCGACGTTTTCCACTTTGATGTTCCTTCCCCTCTCTGAAGCCTGAAGTCAACTAAAGGGCTAATGATAACCATCAAAACGCCTCCCATTTGATATAAATAAATATTTAAAATGTATGATTTGTAATTTCAAATTCCGAGCAGAAAATTTACACATCACGCATAATTCATCTTAAAATAAAGTCTATAGAATGTGAGCCTTTTAATCTTTTATATGTAAAAATATAAATCAGGCATAATAAAATAACCATTGAGTTGAAATATTATGGCATTGATTTTAACATATATGCAGGGAATAAGTGAAATATAACTAATGATTTATAATAGTGTAATTTAAATCCACTGTATTTGAATTTTTTAAAAAAAATATTAATTGGAATGAAGAATTGAAATAATCTGATAGATTCCATGCTAATCCGAATCAATCATCGAAATCAAAGGGTTAAAAACATTGAAATTATTTTAATATTGAGAAGGCAGTCCAAAGTGGGGCAATTATTTAGAAATATATACAAATAGAAATATTACAAATTTTTCTTCTGTCCTCTGATCACAGAGTAGCAAAAGACTAGTCCTGGCATTTATAGTGAGATGACAAAATATATTAAAATGACCATGGAAAAGTGCCAAACTTGTATCCCATTGACGGATTGCCAAATTCTTCCCTCCTTGAAGGGCGAAAATAAGTCATTCCTCCCATTCGAGATATTCTTGTGAGAGATGTCTATTGGATGCATTATTTGCATTAATTCATTTTGTCAAAATGGGACGATTTGCAATGCCAATTTAAGCAGCATTGCTGACCACTGCTTCCATTTATTTATTTGTATCAAATGCCAGGCGTTTTGATTGTTATCATTAGCCCTTCAGTTGACTTCAAGCTTCACAGAGGGGGAGAAGAAACATCAAAGTCAAAAAAAAGTCAAAAAAGGGGGAACAGAAGAGCGATTCACAGATGTAAAAGAGACAGACAGATACAAGTGCATAGAAAAATTTAAGATGGGTACTGTGGAAGTAGTCGAAAATGACCGCATACAGTGGGGGTCGTGTTAATTAGAGATCAGAAGACAACTGCCGATTAATAGACTTTTTGCCGTATGAGTATAAATTGTCCGGGGTGCACCACGTGGAGGTAAGTCTATCGCACACCCACTGTTATCATAAACTTTAAGAAAAGGTTTTTTGATGATTTCGAAAATATTTGCCAAATTTATACTACTGAAGGGTTTGAAAGGTTTTGTGAACAAAAATCGATTTACTATAAAGCAATTTATAGAAGATAAAAAGCATGTACATTTTTGTAAGCTCCAGATGATCGTTTTGATAAAAAAAATAAACAATTTCCTGCTGGTAGAGGTTGAAAATATGAAAACAAAATAAAGCAATTGAAGCTAATAGACCATTTAAACAGGATGGTGTAATTCCTAATTTCCTTTGACGTTATCATGCTACTTCCCGTTTCATTTCACAACTGTAAAATCCATCAAGTCAACCGTCACACATACTTTGGTCCTTTTACGGTAGAATAACTTTTCTCCACACCCCAAAGCCTGCAAATTATTAAAGAGTCCATCAGATACAACTCAAATTAAAAGTAATTTTCAACAAAACCAGAAAATTTTAACCTGGTGGGCAAGAATTAACTTAATAAAGAAAAAACGAAATTAGACAAATACTTAACTAATAAAGCAAGTAAAAAACCTAAATATTATATGGTCTCAATTGTAACGCCATATTTGCATCGCAAAGCTCTACACGCGTAATGAAATTAATGCTGTTAAGTAATGTTTCACAAACTTTCCTGCAACAGGAACTACAATATCTAAAGTTAGAACTCTTTTTTTGAAAATTCCACAACTTATTCGTAAAAGGCAAAGTAGCCTAAAAATTTATAATTGAAGTAGAAAGTGATGAAAGTTGACCTTATCTACTGCCATAGAATTACTAATTGATTTGGCAATGAAAGCTGGAAGGACAACCGGAAAATATTATTTATTTATATCAAATGGCAGGCGTTTTGATAGTTATTATTGGCCCTTTAGTTGACTTCGGGCTTCACAGAGGGGAGGAGGAACACCAAAGTGGCAAAAAAGTCGAGAGGGGTGACAGAATAATGATTCACAGACGTAAAAGAGACAAACAGACACAAAGGTAGAAAAAAGATGAGTACTGTGGAATTAGTCGAATATGAAATGCGGTGGGGTCTTGGTAGTTTGAAGTCAGAAGTCAACTGCCGATTAATAGACTTTTCTGCCGTATGAGTATACGTTGCCCAGGGTGCACCACGTGGAGGTAAGTCTATCTCACACACCCCATAGGAAAATATAAAAGCTGATAGATATCAACACATGGAAACAGATTAAATTGAAGGGGGATTTAGTTATATTTTTGTAAATAATAACTGTTGGAATGCAACGGAAGTACTAAAATGCAGAGCAGTTAAAATTTAATGTCCCACTATGGATCTCCAAGCTATTAATCGGCTAGTGAATGCGTCCGCATTGTCCACGCAATTTGAGGTTCTAAAATCGATTGTAAGAGTGCTCAAAAACAATGCCATCGCATGGCATAAATTTCAAGCTCCAATTAGAACGACAGCGAGAAAACTTCCGTGTGCAACCTAAAGGCCACATCGGGCTTTAGAAGCGGCTAGTGAATTCGAGTATAAAAGTCTGTTTGCGCTTTCTCTTGACATTCAATTAAAGTATCCAATAAACACGTTTTAATTAACTGACATTAAAATGTAGAAATTACTTGCAACCCTCTTATTTGGACCAATTAAAATTAATGGAAAACATTTTTCATTCACTCGCTCACTACATATTGAATGATATTTTTAATTTGATTTATAAAAGAGGCATATTTGCTGATAAGATCGTAAGAAAAATTTAACCAAAACGGCATAAGGACATTCAAACTAAGAACATTCAAACTTGAACGTGTTCTAATATGTGCGATAGGAATTTAATAGATAGATCTACACGGTTTACTCAACTCCTTCAATGTTTTTGTCTTGATCCATAAATATTTCAATGATAATGAATGCTCCAAATTAGCCGAAATTGTTTAAAATACATGCAGCCGAAAAGGAGAACATTAGTTAGGGACACTTCGTAATAATTAAGTGACAATTTGGTACTTATTTAAAGAGTCCCACATCTTTAACCCATTGAAGAGGGATGAATTTGATATATATATATATATATATATATATATATATATATATATATATATATATATATATATATATACATATATAGTCAAAAAGGTAAATGGCACATAATTTGAAACCCTTAGTTTGGTAAGGGATCGTGTTAATTGTGATCTAGCAAGATCGATTAACTGCAATACTATTTCTCCAGATCTCCATGAAAAGGAGAAAAGGTAGAGACTATTTCAAGCAAGGACTTTCCACCAGCCAGACACACATCCATTTATAAAACTCTAGCAGAACACCGAATTGCCGGAAAAGATTGAACAAAACCTTAGTGTTTTGTGCAGTACAATATGTTTTGTTAAATAATAAAACAAACAATGATCAGCGATTGACCACATCATGCCTCCATCTAATCTGTTTATGATGCGGACGTTGAGAGAATGGTCTGAAGGTGGCTACAAAAGCCACCTTACGTTGTCCACTCGAATAAAATCAGAAAGACTTGATGATCAGATCTTTTGGATCTATGATAGCCTATAACTCAGGAATATGGGCATTGGTAGGACGACACATCTGAAATGATATCTAGTGGAATTTGACCGAGATCTATACTGTCATTGTTTTCTACGAGGTATCAATTTCCTATGGACAGTACAGGAGGTCAAACCTTAAAGATGCTTTAATGGCAAGTGGGAAGATTGAAGAATTTCCGTTGCAATTATAGACGCTTTCGACTATCGATGAAAATGCTAAGCAAAGCAATTAGAGGGTGGGTGTTGGGCGGAGGTTTGAATTCGCATTGAATAAAAATAAGACGTCTAAATTGTCAAAACAAAGCAGAAATGAACTGCGATCCTCTGCCTATTGTGTATGTAGCAGGGACACTGAAGCATAGGCATGCAGTATTCCACTAGCGCTTTAGCCATAGATTCAACTCAACCCCAAGAGGTCAACGCGTAAAACGGTCAACATGGGTTGGAATGTGAAAAAAAGCTTAATAGGAGGGAAGGGAAAGGGAAGAAGCCGCTATATCAACTTGAACATGACAAATTCAGCCATCGGTAAAAGAAAGAAATAGGATTCGAATTCACGGATGAGACAATCCAAGCAATCAATCGAATATCTTCCGACTGCTTAATTACGAAACGGAAAGTTCTAGCCTCCTGTTCGAAAAGTCACTATTTTCCATGGTGACATAAGTGACTAGAGAGAGGTAAGCAATCAAAATGTCAAGAAATGGTCGAAGTAATTGACGCCAAATTTAGAACTGACTCTTGCTAAGACGTATGTTCCAGGAAGACAAAGACGTTCACGTGTCATCTATCATTGAGGAATGCAAGTTTAAATGAAAACGTTTTACAGGGAGAATGGTGGTGTACTTACGCTCGACTAGCATAAATAGATGAACTATGTTTGGTGAAGATGGCGACTTGGAAAACTTCCAAAATGCGAAGGAAACGTTTGACTGTCAAATAGATAGTAAGCCGTTTTTTGACAAATATGGTGCACCTAATCTCAC